GTCTGCACGCACGAAGTCAGTAATCCAAGGAAAGCCACAAGCAGCAAGCACAGAAACAGCGCGACGATTATATATAAAGATTGATGAGATTAGACAAAGAAAATATTATTGGCTGAATATTAGGCAGCAAGCTCCATGCAGGCAGCAGCTCTGTGTGGGCAGCAGGCAGCAACTCTGTGTGGGCGGCAGGCAGCAGCTCTGTGTGGGCAGCAGGCAGCAAGCTCCATGCAGGCAGCAGCAGCTGCTCTGAGTGGGCAGCAGGCAGCAAGCTCCATGCAGGCAGTAGCTCTGTGTGGGCGGCGGTGTGGGCTGCTCTGTGGGGTGGAGCTCCGTCCGTGGTTTACAGAATCTGCGCTCTCCTGCAGGGTGTGCCCGGAAGACTGGCGACGTGACGAACAAGGACAAAAAGACAAAAGGACCAAAGACGACAGACGGACAGACAAACTTTCACTCGCAGCTATCACTCGCAACTATCACACACTGCGCCCTCCTGTGAGCGTACGTTCGTGAGGCTTGCTAAACGCAACTTAATAAGACCATAGCGATATTTATTTCCTACCCAGTCCTAGCCGCCCGGCTGTCCAAATATTCGTTAATAATTTCGATATTGTCAATGTGACAATAAGGCCGAAATCTGTCCATGTTTTTTGTGACTGAGTACGGTGGTAAGTATTCGTCAAAGAACCTACGATTGCTATGAAAACCTAGAGAACCTTGTCATTTGATCCAAGCAAATGAGTTTTGATAAGTTGGCTGCAAAATGCGTCTGTATATGTTTTGACATCACCGAAAAGCTGGCTATCATTGTAATGACAGAACAACCTCATGTTGTACTGCCAGGATAGCCATGTAGAGAAATTTGAGGTCCTAAAAATGCGTTTTCGTTATTGAAGTCAATTCGGCGCTTTGAAACATTTATTCAAATATATCCCATCAGGATGCCAGAGTGTACAGTATCTGGCTTGCAGACAAGAGGGTGGCATCCTTTGACCTCTTGATTAGCAGGGGTCATATACTATCAAGGTCTGACTCTCGTATCATCCAGGGATAGAAAACTCCTGGCAGAAACAAATTGTATTGCTTCTCAGACAACACAGCTATGATATCCAGGTCTCACCATCATCTAGTTACTCCCCAGAGCAGACACCTGCTCGACCTCCCTTTACGGACACTGAGGGTAGGGTGATCACTGCTAAGAGTGTTTCCCGCCCTCAGTTGTTCTTTTACGTCCCCATTACAGGAGACGGACCCGCCATGTTTCGTGGTCATCCAGGCCACGAAGGACTCACAGTCAACAATACGATGCCATGTGTTTGTGAAACGCCTTCAGAAAATTTCACTGCTCACGTTAGGTTTTGAATTCACAGCCTTAATTCACAGTGAAATTTAGGCAGACAGGCTATATACCCACTATTACACCGAGCATCAGGGTCTTATGAGATACTTTCTTGGATAATTCCTTCAATACATCCAGCTTTTAGGCAAAATCTACACTTTCTTCGAAGTGTCGGTGGAAGCTGTGTTAGAGGAGATGGGGGAAATTAGTCAAAATTTACCACTTAGCCATGTAATTTCATAGCGGGAAGTTGCACCTCGTAAGCCAATATATGGCGATCATGCGACATTTGTGGACATCATTAAAGCCACGACAGGGATGCCTCACGCCGGCTGTATACGAGATGCAAGCTCTCGCCATTGCCATACATAACAAAATGCGAAATTCTGGCCAATTGCCCCCAACTCTCCTAAAAGCCAACAACCACCGACACTTTGAAACCACTGACTGCTATCCCCCTCCCCCTGCCTACTAAGGTACTGACATGGTAATAGCTAATCGACTGGCTGGGGGAGTATGGCATGTTGTTTGTGTCATAATTCGATTTTTGTTTTATGGTTGATTTTATCGCATATAACATTCGATTTATCACATATAACATTCGATATAAATATCGAAATAAATGCAAAACTTGAACAAGAAAACTTGGAAAATTGATGAGAATCAGAGATCGCTATACTATACAATCGCTACTATACAAGTTATCCTTTATTAACATACATGTACTATACACACAGTAGTAAACAGTGCAAAACAAACAGTAAACAGGGCTAAACAAGCACATACATGCACACACGTACATGCGCACGACGTTACGCACACGCAGGCATTCAACACCCCGAGTAACCGATTGTAACCGATCATCGGTTATTCGGGTCCAACCGATGATCGATTACGAAATTACAACCGATTAACAACACTAGTATATATATATACACACACACAAACATATGGTGCAAGGCAAACACCTAAAAGGACAAATTACGTGCTTGTATACTGTAAATATCAAAACTAGAGAACGTTACACAAACCATTCCACCTTTCAGCAGAATAACATATTGGGTGATTATGTACCAGAGTTACAGAAAACTACAGTATTGATCTGTTAATGTGGCCAACGTTGCCTCTGTTCTTATTATTTAAGTCTCTTCGACTTTAAAAAAATATTTTTAAGAGATTATGAGTATTACTAAATCTAGAACATATCATGAATCAATATATATGGGATGGAAAATCACATACCTTAGTGTACATCACTAACTTTATGTGTTATAGCTTAGGGGGGTATCTAACACATCTGTATACAGTACTAATGTGAAATTACGATTAAAACGATAACATGGAAACGTATAACATAGAACACACAAAACACATAGAAAACATAGAACAATGCAGCAGCTGTGTTCTCGTTCAATCAAGTAGTGGCTATAGTGGCTGTTGCATACCATTCAAAGTTTCATTGCCACCGTTTCTAATTCTCGGATAGACTATACCTTCAAACATGATCTGTTTTGGAGGTTTTAGACGTTCCATATCTGTACGTAATCACCAACTTCTGACAGCATGTGAAATGGACGTAAACAGCAGATTACCAGACAGGAAGTGATTTATTATTTCCCATTAACGCATGCGCATATAGTTTATACCAATCTGAATCATGATGCTACCAGGAGTGAGGCTACTAATATGACACGTGACACCACAGCGTGCAGCTATTTACATTTTAAAATACTACTACATCTTAACTACAAGCACATAGAAAGGGGTTTCTGTCACTCCTGTGCTATATCTGTTAAGTATATATACTCTTAACTTGTTATTCCTTCATTTGTTCCATTGTACATTTTGAAAATAATAATTCTGCACAAATAAACTATAAAATACAACTATAAATATGCATAAATAATATTTTTAATTTAAATTTTGAGCATTTTGCCGTGGATTTGGAATTACCTTACACAATGCAGTGAATGCCTCGCTCAATCAAACCACATGATTGAGAGCCATAATGAATTACACTGGCTATAACGATTAACGTAGAACAAACAGTTCACTCCATCGCAAAATCTGATAAGCTCAGCAGCACCCTAAAAAATGCAAACTTAGCCACTAAAGCAGGGCCGTACGCAGCAGGGGGGCAGCATGGGCAGTTGCCCCCTGGCCCCGGCCCCCCCCCACACAGAAATTTTCAGAGTATGCCTTTTAATGGGACAAATACTGTACACTTTTAGAAATAAAATAGAAATGTGACAAAAGGTTTTTCTTAAATCATCAAAGAAATATTACTTTAAATAAAGAAATGTGAAATTGCGAAACTTTAGGGCACAGGGGGCATGGGGCACTGAAGAAATTCGTTGCTTTCGACATTGACAACACATTGTCACTAATATTTCAATGAAACAAACCAGGAGTGGTTTTATTTATATTACTAGTTTTAACTACATTTTGTAGACAAAAGACTGAAAAATCATCATGCTCCAATAATAAATCCTAGCAAAGCTGCATGTAAAATTAAAAATATGTCATACACGTCCTATGCTCGAATGCCTCGCTCAGTCCAAATCAAGATCGTAGAACTAGGATTTGTTACATTGTAATATTAAAGAAACAAAATCCCAGAGATTTTTCCCCCGCTAATGTAGGTGTAAAAAATATTCAACCGAAAATGTCGTCCAACATTTTACTAGAAATATTTTAAAAACGTAGATTACCGATTGCTATAACAACACAGGTGGCGCCACTACAAGCATGTCCTATATTTCTATGCATGGGCCAACTTCAAACCATGAATGAACAAAAACATTGTCACAACATATAGTGCATGCGTACGCACCATGCAATCGCCACATATATATATAGTCTTACCAATGTAAACAAATGATAATAAAAATGGTTCTGGCACTCAAAATTCACATCCCTACCTCGCACAAATTGCATGCACACACACACACGCACGCACGCACGCACGCACGCACGCACACACACACACAGGGTTCTCCAAGGGCACTTATAGCCTGGCGGCCCGCCAGGCTATCGTCCAGCCCCCCTATTCTAAAATGCACCCGCCATATGCTGGTGTATACACGAGAAGTTCAAACAATTAATTAATACACGTTGGTCTCAATGCTCCAAGTACGGCAGTCCCACACACAAGCACAAACAGTCACCCTATCCCTATCCCTATCACCCCTATATGGCCCAGTCACACATACACGACGCACGGTCCGCGCACTGAAAAATCAGCAATTTTGGCCAATGCGTTGTCGTTCGCTGGGTGTGCGTCAGCATTCGTTACTCGTTCGTCGAGCGCGCTGGACCAACGCTATGTCACCCCTTCACCCTCTCTCACCCACGCGCACGCGCAGCTCCCGCCCGCACCCCTTCACCCTCTCTCACCCACGCGCACGCGCCGTTTCGCACCCGGTAGGTGACAGCAGCAGCGCGGCGGATCGATGCCTGGCGTGTGTAGAAGCCGCGCCGCTGCTGCCGCCGCCGCCACCACTGCTGCTACTGCCAAGGTTAACACGGCCGCTCGAGCGTCTGCGCATTCCCGTCGCAGCGGAGCAGAGTGAGCAGGCACCTCTCCTCCTCCGCCTCCTCCTCCTCTCTTACGCACACCTCCAACGGACGCACACACATGGCGGAGAACGGCGACAACTCAACAATGACTACGTCGGCGGCGGCGACGACGGACTTTCCCACCATTATCGAACTGAACGTCGGCGGCGTGTTCTACACGACGTCGCTAAAGACGATCTGCAACGACCCGGACTCGCTGCTGTGCCACATGTTCACGGGAAAGGCGAAGCGTCCTCTGCGCGACGGCAAGGGCAAGTATTTCATCGACCGCGACGGGGTGCTCTTCCGCTACGTTCTCGACTACATACGAAACCAGCGACTCGTTCTACCGGAGAACTTTCACGAGAAAGAAAGACTCCGTAGCGAAGCAGAGAGCTTCAAACTTGATTCGATGGTAGCGAGCATCGAGAAGGCAGTCATCTCCCACACGCACCAGGGCGTCTCCTCATCCTCATCCTCTTCCGCCGCTCCGTCGACGACGACGTCGCGGTGCGGGTACATCACCGTCGGCTACCGCGGCACGTTCGCGTTCGGTCGCGACGGCCTCGCCGACGTCAAATTCCGCAAGCTCTCGCGAATTCTCGTCTGCGGACGAGTGTCGCTGTGTCGGGCCGTGTTCGTCGACACGCTGAACGAGAGCCGAGACCCGGACCGCGGCAGCGACGACCGCTACACGTCGCGTTTCTTTCTCAAGCACAACTTCCTCGAGCAGGCTTTCGACAATCTGTCCGACGCTGGGTTCACGTTGCTGACGGCCTGCGCGAGCGGCACGAGTAGCGGACTGCAGCAGCCGGACGTCGGTAAGAACCAGGCGGTGGTGCAGTTCGACTCGGAGGAGAACAAGTGGAACCACTACAACGAATTCATCTTCTATCGGCCCTGACGCGGTGCGACGGTCAAGTAGCGACCGACGTCGGCGACGGTGAGATAGCGACCGACGTCGGCGACGGTGAGATAGCGACCGACGTCGGCGACGGTG